AGCGGTCCCCATAAGGATATGTTTACCCTACATGTGCGTGCATGTGTGTGTGTGTGTGTGTGTGTGCCCTGCCCAGGACTAGCATCCCCTTCAGGCTGTTCCCTTAGCTTGCACCTTGTACTTCCTGGCACAGGATCCATTCTCACGAAGAGGTGGACACTGGATGGGATGCTAGTCTAGTGCAGAGCACACAATCATGCCATATGGGCAATACAGACTTAACTAGAGTAAACAGCCAAACTAAATACAATATGTGCAATAGTATACTTTTATAGTATACAATATGTGCAATAGTATACAGAACTGCTTTATTAAATTAGTACAGGCTGGATTGTTCTAGTATCACATACAAATTTGGAGTATCATTTTATAACCAATTTGGTTTGTTTATAGCTAAAACAATGAAACGTCACAAAAGCAAACTTCAACTTGCTCCTGTTATGGGTCTCACAAACAGCAGCTATCACAGTGGTGAAGTACACAGACTAATTGTGAATCTTGCTAATTTGGGACTCTTGAGCAAAGTACCTACATTTCTTCAGTAAAATACCCAGCTGTGCAATTGTGTTAAACTCAAAAAGCTGTTCCTCCCTCATCCACTGTCCCAAGTTTGACTTTGGTGTTTTGTTTAACTATCATTGCTAATTCTTTGTTTACTAGATGTCTTGTGCCTACGCAGGGCAATGACCTCTTGTTCAATAATTGTCCACCAGCGTTAACTGTTTTCTTCTGACTGCTCAGTGCTTTTAAATGCCAATGCTGAATACAAATCCTGATTAAAATAACTCAAGCTATTGATTTGGGTTCTTTAATGGACAGTACTTTCAATTCACTTCTTACTTCAGACAGGACAAATAGGTAACAAGAAGGGTTGACATACCCATGAAAAGGACAGAAAAGAGTAAAATAATCCAAAAACAACAGATAATCTGCGAGAGTTTCACTTTCAGTTTGCTAATCTCTGTCAGACTACTGCAGTTAACCCTGAAGACTATGGACTGCAGAAATTCTATAAATGATTCTTTATAAGTCTATGATAATTTATAATTCTAATTATTATTATAATTATTTAAAATGATTATTATATTGAAAGCATAAAAAGGTATGCATGCAGCTTACAAACAGTGATATTTCTAATAATAACCATACCGGTAATTTATAGTCAGGTTTTCAAAGAAATAAATTAAGTCATAACAGTATAAGTCTGTTTTGCATAATAAATTCATAAATCATGTTCTTGATTAAAAAGTTCAAAATTTTGAACCCAAAGGTCATGGGAATTTTAAATCTGAACAAAATAGTTTAATATTTAGTTCTTGAAATTCATTTGTATAACTGGTAAGTATCTTAAAAAATTTACGTGTCAGTTTCATAATCATAAATAATAATAATAAATGTGTAAATAAATATATTGTGATATAAATCAAGAACAACAACTGGTGTCACAACAGTCCTTTTACAGTTTTCCTCTACTGCTTTGGCACATTTCTCAAATGACCATTAACATTTGCAAAACAACAAGCGTAATCCCCACACCATAATGTCACTTCTAAAAGCAGGACATAATTTCTCATTGCTTCACACAAATATCCAAATGTTTTAGTACATGAATGCAAAAGTTATTGTACAATTGTCATCATTTGGCACAATTTTCAGTTGCTTCAGTCTTGCTGGTCAAAATGGATTATGTAGTTATATTTTTGTAATAATTTTACACCCAAAACAATATATGTAAGCCACCACATACAAAACAGTTCACCAAACTGTCAAAATGATTCAAAAATATATTCCATAAATTGCAGTGATATTGCATTGCTGTATCTTTGGTTCCCACAGTAACTGATTTTGTTGCTATTTTGTTGTTCTTGTATTGGCATTTTGCTATTTTGTGTTATACATTGCTGTGGGACCTTTTTTTGCTATTGTACTATGTCTTGAGATCTGAAAACTACACGTGAGTACTTTATTTTGCCACTGAACTTTACATATTGAAATGTAGAGCCTTGCAATGTTGAAACTGGTGTCTTTGACATAGATAAGGATCAGTTTGTTAAAGAAGAATGATCAGTCAGTGACAATGAGAAAATAGGAAATCACTATCATTCAGAATTTTAGAGCTCCGGAACATACTTACACTGACATTCTGACAATGTGACAATATATCTAAGCATTTTCACTCTCACAGTTAAAATGATGCTGAATGTACTTCACATTTTAGCGGCACTGAGTAATTCATTCAAAGTTATTTGCTTTTGAGACATGAGATAATTGTTTTGGGTGAAACAATATATACGTTTTGAGAAATACTCTTGTAACTGTGAGAATTTTAGGTTTCATGAAATGTGTCAAAGCAATCGAGAAAAACTGTAAGGGAACGCTTAAAGTACTCTTTAGAAATCTTACTTACAGAAGTTGATACATAACAGTGATGATTAACAAAATAATTACAAAACCAACATAAGTGTTTTATAGAACAATAAAACCAAAAAATACATGAATACATGAACATAAATTTATTTAAACAGATCATTTTAATGTAATTTTAAAATAATTAATTCATTATTTACCAATAGGTTATTGTTAGGTGAATATTTAATTGTTATATATAAGACTAAAAACTTCAGCAAAAAAACAAATGGCAGTCATATTCGTAATATAATTTCGCGCATACACTACAATGGATCTTTCCCCACTGTAATCAATCAATATTTAAATGACACGTGTCATTTGGAAGACTTGAAAATATTATTTCTTGCTGTTTTAAGCAGTTCATAATAATCAAGTGTTACCTTTCCCCGCAGCTTTCGACTGACCTGAGAAAATGAAATAAACTCTCTGCGAGATGCGTAGCGCTCTAAATACGGAAAAATCCCAGTGATTTAAATAACTCTATAAAACAACGTTTTATATATGTCTTTGAAATATTTCACTCTATTTCTAGTCCTATTAAACAGACTTTGACATCAGGAATTTCCAAACAAAGCGTACAGATTGTAAATTTAGTTGGTACGCAAACCCTCTCTTATACTTGCGAAAAGTTAACTCACAACTTAAAAAGAAAATAAAAGATTGATTAGCTGTTAGCTATTAGCTAAAGATCGTCACTATTGACTACAATATCAGTTACTGAAAAGCTAAAATAGCACACAATTACAAATCTGATCTGCTCCGACACGACAGAATCATAACAGAATGACAGAAATGTAAATAACTGCATTTTAATATTCATTTCATTGAACGTGTACAGGCTGCGTTTACGACAAAGTTAAAGTTTTCAGATAAACAGACCGAAAGAAAATGCAATAGTTTTAAAGGTTTAAAAACAATACTTACGTTTGTTATACTTACAGATTTGGGATGAGGAAAATCCCGTGTTATTGTCCCCGCTGGCACTTTAGCGCATGGGAAGAGTGTAATGGCACCGCATGAGAAGATGCGAGAAGATGCGCTGCCGGTGATCCGGGCGGTCCCCGCTTTGTGGGGATGGCATCAGCTGCGCGTATGCATGATAAGGAAACTGTGGCGAGTTTCCCAAGGAAAAAAAAAAAGAAAAAAAAGAGAAGAAGGGAAAGAAAGGGGTTGAATGTGAGATCAAGTGCTGCTCACGACCGTAAGGTGCTGCCACTCAGCGCCGGATTGGCTCGCTGCCTCCCCGGGGGAGCCGGTGGAGCTGTGGGGAAGCTCGTCTCATTTATTTCTCCTTGTTTTACCATCGAGGATGGCATGGCGATTGAAGTCCACTGCAAAACAGCGGAGCTGCTTAAAATAGTACGACTGAAATTTATTCGAACCAACTTTTTTATTTAGTTAAAAAATAATAATATATATACATTTAGATTAACCATACACTAAAAACCGGCCACCCACATCGACAGTATAACATGCACTTGCCTAAGACGAGATATCATGCGAATTTATGTAATTAATATGCCTCCAATTCACAATGGAGTGGTTTTAAGTTGTATTTTTATATTTGTCTAAATATCCCTACAGTCTGCGGTAATTTAACAAAGTACTTGAAACTTATTATCATACTTAACTATTTTATTTGATTATATATTTTACACTTTTCCTATGAACAATCTATTCTAAGGTATGCATTTAGGAGTTATTTTAAAACAGGCATTATTTTTAAGTATACAAAAATTTATTTATTACTTATCTGTTATTAATTATATCGTTTTGGCTGAAAATGTTTTTTAAATTGGTTAAATCCATTGCTTTTGAACTGCTCTCGTCTCACAAAGAGCTGTATTTATGAGTTAAATGGGAAACATGATGCATGCTGGTAACTTATTTGGCATAGGCCTTTGTGTTACTCTCTCGTACCTCCAATTCTGTAAATAATGTGATGTGTGAATGTGAATTAGGCTTCAGTGCTCAACTGAGAAATGCAGAATTTGCACTCAAACACGAAAGGCGTTTTCCCACCACTGGAACTATGTTTCCGGAGCCTGGAACTTGGAATAACTTTGGATCCCCGATCAGTTCTCCAGGTTGGATTAAACCTTTCGACATAGCGGAGGAGAGGACACCTTCCAGTAACGAATGGCCCGTGATTGTCGTTAACGGTTGCGTGTGTATATGTGCAACCTTGCATGTGTAAACTTGATATTAAACAATGATATTCGTCGTTTCTGCCATAGCTAACTAGCCAGTGAAAGCAGCCTGAGTCCCTGATCCCGAACAGGTACTTTTCGTTCGACCACGAATTACTAGCGGGGTTCATGGCGATAAACTTGCTTACTGGTTGACTTGGATGTTATGCGGACATTTGGCGGAAAGCGATAGAAATAGAGAAGCAAAAATGAGCAGATGGAATTATTTTTGTACCTCAGTTACATTTAATGCAGTACCTTTTTTGCTTGAATTTCTGCGTCTGAAGATTAGATGGATAAACGATATACTTCTGTCAAACGGCGCCGGTGTTCTGTCGAGTTGAGCTACTTTGTGGAGTTAGGCTAATGTAGTGCTAATCGATAGCCCTAACCGTAACTCTTACCCTAACCCCCTAAAATCCTTACTTTAACCCTAACCCTAAACCCAAACCCTAATCCCAAAACGGTGGAACTGCACATGCGCATAAAGGCTCGATAGCACGTCTTGATAGGTAGCTCTACTCGTCAGAACACCGGCAGTTAAACGTACCAGCGTTTATATTAGCGGAATAACATTACGTCGTTGTTTATTATGTGGAAAACGAAAGATCGATTATTTGGCCAGAAATAACAAAGAATAATAAACACCGTGGGTACTACAAATAAAATATTAAGAAAATGCTGTGTTCCGTTTTGATCGCGATCGGTTGCCTACAAAAACTAACAAATCGACTTGTACACCCTCCATTGTTTTGGGGTGGCGGTTTAGTTTTGTATGAAATGACGTGTGAAGTCTAACATGCGAGCATTTTTTTCGTCCCCCATGATTATTTAAGATAAAATCCCAGTTCCTTTTGTGCGGTGTGAAAGCAACACACGAAAGTAGCCAAGAGCTACAAAAGTCCCTAGTGAAGGCAGCCCACTAACTCAGAACCAGGAACTATAGGTTCCTGAACTTTGGGGTGGGGGGGAAGCGCCTGAAGTCCTGATTGTATAGCATCATCTTGTTTCGTTTGCAAAATACTAAGTAATTTGTATTGATAAGACCATTTCAGGATGTTGAGGACTGAAAGTGCCTGTCTTGTTCTAGAACCAAAGTTAAAAATAACAGGAAGAGTCAACTGATTATGCAGCTGTGACAATGCATTTGCTGTCCTTTCTAATACAGCCTGGAAACACTGTCCAAGTCCTTCAGCTGAAACCAGGGCTTGAGCAGTCTTAGTAAACAATTGTCATTGGCAGTTCTGGTATTACTGATTAAGTCGGCCAGGCTATCATGCTGGACCCTATTTGCAATTATACGATTCTTATATCCGTTGGTGCCAGCTCTCCTGCATTTCCCTCTCACCCATTAGTGAACTCAAAGAATCAGTAGACTCAGAATTAAGTGTACACTTTTGCCAGAAAGGTATCTTGGCTGATTCTGTGGGAAATAGGGGGATCAGCTTAGAATGATAAAGAATTAGAAATAACAAATCTAGAGAGATGATAACAGTAATCATAATAATGTAAGAATTCCTTGGGACATTTCAATTTTCTTTATGTTAGACAACTTAAAGTCAGTGATAGTTTGTAGGGACTAACGACCTAAAAAATCTTTCTGACAAACAAGACCTAAAAAAGGTCACACACACATTATATATATATATATATATATGTGTGTGACCTTTTTTAGGTCTTGTTTGTCAGAAAGATTCAAATAATCTAATAAGTAATGACAGAAGCAAACTGTATAGTGCTCCTAATTTGGCCTACTTACAAAACCTGTTTTTTTTTTCAGCTATGGGCATAATTGATTTTGCAGATAAATGTGTAATTGCTCTAATAAAATTTCTGCACAAAATAATAAACAGATTTCAAAAACCAACCTCCATGTGACATTACAGTATACTCTTTGTGGTTACAACATATAATAATTTACCAATTTAATCAGCAAAGCCAAGTGGTTCAGAAACACGACTTCGCAAATCTAATGTAATATCCCAGTGATCATCCAGGCTTTCCTCCAAGTATGGCCACAGATTTTCATCCTCATTACATCTAATGCCCCGTGCAAAGCATTAGGGGAAAAATACACCGTATCCATCCCCTGTAATCATAATAGTGAATGGATCGAGCACAAACATCAGAACCTTAGGATAGTGGCAATAAACCTTCAACCTCTGTGCAGGAAAAAAGCATCTTAATGAGGTTATGGAAGGGGTAATATGATGGGAAAAGTTCCATACCCACGTGTTAGTGGGCAGTAAAGTAGAGTCATAAAAGCAGGCATTGTTCCAAACTGCTATATAATTTGGCACGTTAGCCTCATCAGTCATATTATCTGGCAGTTGTAAAGACAGCGGTGTCTTTGGAGTGTAAATGAAATAATAGATTTAATTCACCTATTCGGTGACTCATTTTTCTGTCTGTAAAATTGTGCTTGACTTGTAGTTTGTTCGAAGGCAAGTGTCTCAATGAAGCTGAAGGGTTCCAATAAAACAGGTTTCATTATCATAATATCCGACCGGGTACAGATGCAATCAAATAGAACCAAACCGTCCCACTCATACTGCCAGGTTTTCTCCCCGATGATCCCTGCGTCCTTAGGACAAAATACTGCAGGAAGCAGGTAACTGCCAGGACTGGGGATGCTTATTCAATGGAACGTTCTGGAATACGGCATGCAGGACGTGCATTCAAGTGCCAATGGTTGAGCTGGTGGGGGATAACCAGCATAAGAATAATCAACATACGCTCTGTCTGACTCTGTAGTCATTCAAAATGGATGGATAATTAAGAAGGATTTTTTTAAAAATGCACCAAGTAGTTAATACATTTGGGTCAAGAAAGTACATCCAAATATCTTCTGTACCTGCTTGTCCATAGTCTGGAACCTTTCCCAGAAGCTATGGGTGCAATGCAGAGAATAACCCAGGATGGGGCACCAACCCATTTCAGGGCACACCCACACATTCCTCACATTTTGGTAACTCCATTTCACCTTAGCGAGTTTCTCCTTCCAGGACAGTGATGTGGAGACTGGAGAGGAAACCTTCAGCAACAAAGAGAGAACATGCAAACTCCACCCACACTGAGCAAGGGTGGAGTCCTGAACCGCAGTCCCACCGGTGTGAGGCAGCGGTACTAACCACCACGCCACTCCTAAAAATGCAACATTACAGAAATAATGATGAGAACCTAGTAGTCGATCTGTTACTAAGTTGCATCTGCTACCAGATATTATCCTTCTTACTGACATGTGAAAATTTTATTTGACTTTTATGTAAATAGAAAGGATAAACATTATACAAAGGTTATTTCATTGGGTTCGAAGTAACTTCATAACTTTAAGCCATGCTTCAAAAAGAGCAATAAAAATGATTCACTGGGAAGTGTTTTTGATTAACCTTTCACTGTTAGTCTAATTTATTAAATTGATTAAAGCTTTATTAAATCTTCATTTCTACACCAAGGAATTAAGTACTCTTTTTACATTTTGCAATTGCAGCAAATGATGGCATCAATACTGTTTTCATAAAGTAACCCAGGCATGTCGACACGTACGACATGGATAATGAGTTTGTTCTTAAGATTTTAAAACAGTAACAATCAAAGGTTTTGACACACCTACTTACAGAAAAATTAGAAAAATATTCAATATTATATATTGATTTACACAGACCAATCAAAAGTAGCTACCTATAGGATGTTTTTCCAACTGTCTTCAAGGAGTTCCCAGGTAGGCTGAGCTCACCCTGGCTATTTCTCCTTCATCTCTGGTCCAGCTCACCCAAAACCATCACTTTTGGGTTTAGGCCAGGTGACTATGGAGGGTAGGTCATCTACTGCAGTACTCCTTCACTCTCTTTCTTTGCATGGTAGCTTTTAGTTTGGGGTGTTTTTTTTGGGTCATCATCCTGCTAAAAAACACATGATTTCCCAACTAAGTACAAACCAGATGAGATGGTGTGTCCTTGCAGAATGCTATGGTGACCATACTGGTTAAGTGTGCCTTCACTTCCAAATAACTGTGCCTTCACTGTCACAAGCTAAGCACCCCACACATCACCTCTCCTCCCAAATGCATCATAGTGGGCACTATATATGCAGACATCATCCATTCACTTCTACATCTCTCAAACACAATGGCTAAAACCACAGTTCTCAAATTTGGACTCATCAGGCCGAAGGACAGATTTAAACTGGTCTGATGTCCACTGTCCCTGATAACATTTATCTTGTTTACTTCAGTAGCAGTTTCTCAGTAACAGAAATTCCATCATGGCGGTCTGATTGTTGCTGAGATGTTTCTGTCTTTTGTGAAGCACTAGTACTATAATCTGAGGAGTAATTAGTTCATTGGCAATTACTGAGGCTGGTACCCCCACTCTTTTCACTACGGGTAGCTCTTGCTTTGCCTTTCCTTTTGCTGTTCTCGTCATATCATTTGATCGTTTTTACGACGGCGCTTGAAAAAACTTTCAAAGTCTTTGAAAGTTTCCAGACTGACTGACTTTAAGGACAGACTGTCTTTTCACCTTGCTAAGATGAGCTGTTCTTTCAATATTATTAACTACTAAAACAAGGGAAAAGGACCTTCTTCCAAACTGGGCTATGTATACCTTGCCTGTCTTGTCACGGATTGACTCAAAAGCATTAATGAGGGAAGACATACCACAAATTAGCTTTTGAAGAGGTACACCTGTTAATTAGAATGATGGTTCAAAAGGAGAGGTACTTTTTTGGTGGGACAGGGGGCATTAAAAAAATCATATATATATATATATATATATATTTTGGGGGAGGGGGGATTTTGTTTTCAAGAGAAATTTGTGCCTAGACATGACAGGTGCCATAGGTGCAATTCCTTTACAACGTGAGTTACCTGCTGTATGTGATTTTCATAGGCACCAGTCTTTGAAGACTTGATTCCTACTGAAAAGCATGACACAATTTCAAGGTCAGGTGTCATCATAATGTATTTAGACAGCATGCACATTTTCAAAAGGTAAGTTACTGAATTGTTTCGTGTACAATGAGCAGAACTCCTGAGGATCATTTTCGGAAACCTGAGATGAGAAATGATTGTCTTTTTAGCGAGAAATTGTTTCTGTCTTTCCGTTATGCCACATATCCTATTTAGCCTGTCTTTCTGATAGTGTAGTCGTGAATACTGATTTTACCTGTGATTTGGTATAACACTGAAGCTCTTCCAGAGAAACCCTTTCCAGATTTATTGGGACAAATTATTTTTTTCAGGGAACCTTTCACAAATGTCTTTTAATTATGACATGCGGTTCATCTACAACCTTTCTGCCGGCAGATTCAATGTAATGTCCAAAGCTTCACGTAAATTATACTTATATTTATTCTAAAACAGCCTGCAGTAGATAGAACCAAATAGAACTGGATAGAACAGAAGGATGAC